AAGATCAATGTGCTTGCTTTGAGGTATTTCTTACCATGACCATTGAAGTTTACTCGAAAATTAAAAACAACGAAGCCAAGAAAATTCTATGTTGGGTATTTAACCTAGCCACATAACTTTGCCTTAGGAGAGTCCGCAATCTTAATGCTCACACACGAAGCAACTATTTCCAGGTTCGCGGTCCCACTAATTTGCCGATTTTTGGGGACGGTTAACTGCATTTACTCTTGATTCTACCGAGTGTAATTCCACTGTCAACCACTAGATGGTATTGAGTTAGGAATCGTATACAGGGCGTATGTAATTCTGCTTTATCCACACACAGTCTTTGGGAATTATTATTGATGAATATTGTGAGATGATACGTTAATTATGTTACTTTGGGGGTGGGTGGGAAGGGGGGGCTTTGTTTCCTGTAAACACAGAAGTATTATACAGTAAAAATAATTCTCTACATCTAACATATTTCTGTTATCCGTCACTGTTGTTCTCTCAAATAGGTGTTTAAATGTGTTTTTATTATGCATTTAAAAATCTTTTGGGTTTTTTTTTTAATTAAGTGCTGAAAATGCTGCAAAGAGCACGCTTATATAATATTTAAAAAAGGGTATTTGTCTATTATGGAATTCTCTCATTGTGTGGGTGGCCTGGAACATGATGACTGTATCTTCCTTTTAAAACGCCAAATCTTCCTTGACTAAGTGTTTTGCTTCATCTCAACAACACCAAAGCTTGAAAATAATTATTCCGCCACACCGGCCGGGTATGAATCCGTCATAAAGTAAAAAAAAAAAAAAAAAATTCTTATCAAAAGGCGCCAGAAATGAGGAGCCGATGAGCAAAGCGCACCCGTATTGTTGTCTGTCATCGTTACACCGGCGCTGCCAGTGAGAGGTATTGTTGCTCAGTGGAGCACGTGAGGCTGGAGTTGCATTGTCGTGCCAGGATTTTAAAACAGGCGGAGTTATCAATAGAGCGCAGACTATCGGACTCACTCGGCTGTGCCTCTCGATACACTTGACAACCTCGCGCCGCCGCACGTGACGCACAGCCAGATGCGGTCGCGCGCAATCGGCCCGCCGCGCCGGGCAAACTCTTTGTTCCCCATCATGGATCCAGGTCCGCACCTAACGGAAAAGATGACACACTCCTTCCGTCAAACTATTTTTTTTAATGAACAAAAAAAACGTCATCACAGTTGTGGATACGAGTCGCCGGACTATATTAAGACGTAATTAACCCTGTGATTTGCTTCTGGTGGCAGTTCAATGACAAGGGTGGAGAGGAGAAGGCCTGGACTGATCTCCCCCACCAACCCACTGCGATTACCTGCAGCAGGGGGAGGAAATGTAAAAGCCTTGGGCTGGATTTGATATTTCCAGCTTTCACATGTATCCCATGACCTGGACTACATCTAACAGAGCTCGACTGGAGGTCATGAGGAATCAGAGGCGAGGGGAGGAGAGGGAGGAAGGAGTATTTTCTCCTCTTTTATTTACCTGAGTCCCCTGTGATGGCCGAACACCCCCCTCCCACACACACACGCCCACTACCAACCCTCATTAGACGCCATTACCACTCCCACCTCTGCACTAAAAGAACTGCGACTAACTTTTTTTCCCCTCTGTCAGGGTAGCTATTAAAAGATTACATATTCACACTTCTGTGAACCGAGCCTTAATGAGGATGAAGAGGGACTGCTGCAGTTTGTCTGCACTCTATTGTGGGGGGGCGGGGTGGGGGGGGCAGTTGGGAATGGGAGACTACAGGCAATATAGTGTGGATGAAGAGTGAATGACCCATCTTTTTAACTTAAAATTAATTCATAAATCTTAAATTAAATAATATACTAATCCAGCAAATATGAAGAAAATATACTTTTGTTCTCCATTTTTTATGCCATTCTACCACACTCACTTCGAAAGGAAAAATAGTACCAACAAGGGCTGTTACGAAAAGAAAAATAGAAAGTGGAAGTTAGCATTATAGTAATATTGGTCATTTTACTCAGAGCATCGAGAATGGCTCTCTGTAAGTATCGTCATATGATCTGTCTGCATGTGTTGCTGCACTGTTTGTGTTCAAATATCTGTTGGTTGCAGTGTGAAACTGACCTCAACACGTCTTCCATTTCAGCTTGTAAAATCCCTCCCAATTCGAAAATTTAAAAAATGAGTGACAACTGGATCGAATGAGATTTGACGAAACATATCATTTTGGTATTTCAGTGCCAAATGTGAACTTGAGCCAGGATAAAAATGTGGTTTGATAGTACAACTACTGTATTGACATTGGGTAAGATATTAAGGGAACGGTTTTGCCCTCATATACTGTATTGATGGCATCCACATACATGCTAACAAAGCCCTAATTAAAAAAAAAAATGATACAATAAAATAAAATATGTTAAGACGTTTCACAAGAAACAAAAGAGAAAAAAAAAGTCGGTGAGGGGTGAACATGAAAAGATGTATCATCAATATTCATACGAGGAGGAAGGTAAACTTGTCCACCGAAGTGAATCAAAAGACAGCGACTCATTAATCCGCCGACTGCAGTGCACTTTCAATCCGGCACACATTCCTGCACATAGCCTTCAATGAGCGCTCCGGACCATTCCTCCAAACATGTGTGTGTGTATGTATGTGTGTGTGTGTGTGTGTGTGTGTGTGTGTGTGTGTGTGTGTGTGTAGAGTAATGCGCCCTCGAATTCCTCTCACCCCTTCCAGCACAAAAGAGTCGTGCAGCAGGCTGCCACGAGCTGATTCAATCAAGTGTGTTACATTGTACACCCATGGGCAACAAGGCGACTTGTATTTTTAATTAATAATGTAATACCCCCGACTCCAAGGCTTGGCCCTTGGCATTGCTACAGCGGGGCTTTGTTTTTTTTCCTCCCCTTTTCTAAATATTCTCAAGATCACATTCAAAATGCTGTCAGCGGTTTTCTATACACACTCCGACTCGTGGGAATGGATTTAGTATAAATGTAAGAGCATTAAGTGCACCTGCAATGTCATGACAACAATCGTGGCAAGAAATACCGTATGCCTTTACAAGGACAATACAGTTCGGTATGGATGTCTCACTCAAAAATAAAAATACACCGATAAATCAACATAATTTTGTCAGTTGTCATGAATGGAAAACATTTTTAAACGGTCGCCTGTGTTGAACCAACAACTCGTTAAAAACGAACAGAGAAAAATAACAATAACAAAATTCTAAATCAAATGTAATGGTAATGCCCATTATTTTTGCATTCAGCCTTTGTTTGGACTGAATTTTGTTCTTTTTCAAACTTATTTTTCAATTGTGTCACGGTTAAGAATCTGCTCCCATTTATAAATTGCTTTTAGCTACCACAAGGTGGGAGCAAAGCACAACTTTCTGATTAAATAGTGTTCTGGGGTGACTAAATAAAGCTCCTCCCCTTATGTCAACATAGTTCTTTGGCACCAAGTTGCCAATAGGATTTTTTTTTGAGCTGCTCACCTTTCGGCCATTTTTTCTTTTTTTTCTTTTTCACCTTCAGTTTGAGGCGCCGTATGGTAGCACTGAACTCAACAGTTCTTCAAATAAAAGGCTGAAGTTTAGTGTCAAACTAAACATCAAACAAAGAGATTAAACATTACCCCACAAGCCAGCACGTTCAGCCCTCGTTTGTAGCCTATTTTAAGAGCACGTTCTAGCATAGATATCCAAATGCAATTCATATTTCGGCAACAGAAAAAAAAAAAGTGTTTGGAATTAAATTATTTAAGCACGTTAGAAAAAAGCGGAGGGAGAAGAGAAGACGTTCCATGTAAAGAGAGGACATGGTGTGAATGAAAGTTAACGTTCAGGGCTATGAAGCAGGAGACGTGGCCTTAGGTGCAATGTTGGAAGGAATAACGAGCACAGTGAAGGGTGAACGCACGCTTCTTTGGAGATCCTGCACCCCAAAGGAGCCTTCGGGGAGCTTAAGGGCTTGTGGGATACGGGGCTGTGCTCAACCTTTATCTGCAGCCACACACACAACCACAACCGCGCGCACACACACACACACACACACACACAAGGACAATGGTGAACGATGGCATGTTTACAGCACGCCCTGAGAAATACTGACTCATTTGTTCAAACATAATAAAGACATTAACTGAATATTTAAAATTAAACTTACTGCCTAGTGCCCTTTAAGGCGGGAAAATGTACATATTCTAAAGCCATTTGAGTTGGAAAATTTTTGCTTTGAAAATAAAAACCTTAAAAATCACAAATGTTTTTTTTTTTGGTTTTTTTTGAATGAAAACATTTTAATTAGCCGAGATGCGCACGGCCACCAGTAAATCCAAAGTGATTACTCCTGCCCTGGGAGAAAGGCTGTCTCTTTGCGCTCTGTCAAAAGGTCAATTATGGCCCCAAAGCGGCATGCAGCGACAGTGACCTGGAAGCGCTACTGATGACCCCACGTCCAGGGGCCCAAAAGAGTTGATCATCTAACATGCAGGCTGCCCGCAGCCATGGAAATCTGACATTTGTCCTTATTCAAATGAACACAAACAATATGCATCTCATGCCTCGGCCTAACCTTGTGCCAAATTTATACCCGCCGACTGAATGCATTGTCCTCCTTCGCCGAGGCGCTGCCTTTTGCCCAGCGGTATGGCCGGGTCACACGGACCGCCAGTGCGCTTCGACACCGGTCACCTCGTAAGTCATACTGAAGATCCCAGCAAGAGCGTCATCAAAAAGTCGAAAAATGCTGGAGCCAAAGTGTGTCACTCTGCATCATTTTAGCCACGGCCAAAAAGTGTGAAATATTGAAATGGAGTTGACTGCAACATCAGTGGGCCCAAGCACGTTCCTTGAGGATCACACATGCGCTCTGTAGCCACAAGTGAGATATTCTCAGTGTATGCGAGTCTTTTCAGCAATTATCTTCGAACACATCGAATCTCTTTCGAAAAAAACAATCTCCAAATTCACTTTCAAGATTCTTTCCTCGGGAGAAATATTGCACATCTTTCAGACTCTTTGTTCATTCATCCCGAAGAACATCTGTGAGGTCACAGCGGTTGTACCTGAGAGATCTCGGTTGTAGTTCATCCCCAAGGCCGCTTAATGAGGTTGATGAAGACAAGTCTCTCTTGTTGCCTTCCATCCTGAGGTAAAAAAACAAGGTAAATCCACCTCGATGAGAATTTTATCGCCGTAGCGCCGCTGCATACACACTCAAGCCCCCCACGCCCTCGCCCCCACCCGACAGCATGCACTAGCCCGAAGCAACACCTACCACGGTAAATGTTTATCCATGTGGACTCCCCATCTCAAGCTGTTTTTGTCCGTGTGTGCAGAAGGTGGCGGCCCGGCCCGGGAACAACGCGGGCTCGCATGTCCGCAGGGCGTTCTGCGGAGCATGATCATGAAAAGCTGAAACATGGAGGAAAAGTGCAAAAGGTTGAGTTTTTTTTTTTTTTCTCTTCTGCGAGTCACTTAATTTCATCTTTCCCCCCGCTGTGGTTCCGCATCGCTCTTCTATTACGTTTCGAGCACGATGGAAATATAATACAGATCGCACTGCTGAACAAATACAAAACAACAACAAAAAAAAAACATCGAATCACTACACTCTCAAATGTAAAAATGGAGACCAGTTGAATAATAAAAGTGAATTTATAGTTCCCTCCGCTGCCCCCCCCCCTCATATAATTTACGTCACAAAAAAAATATGAAAAACAGACGCTGGCCATCAGGTTGTTTGCTGCCACGTGATATTTGCTTTAAACAAGCGATCGCCGGCAGTGGCCGAAGAGAAGAGTCCAATCTTTGGGGTGCCTCTGCCAGACAGCCTCAAATCAAAAATCTCAAAGCAATGCACTTCTTTGCGACTCGGTCAGCTGTAAAGCGTTATTGATCCGGACAAATGAAATTTGTTCGCGTTGATCGATCAAACACATTATCTGAGTTTTCCAGTCTATTACCGGCAAGTAGGAAACTGGAAAGGCGTCAATAAATAGAGCCGGGTCACCCCAGGTAGATTCCTTTCAAGCAACACGCGCTGTAAATACAGCCGACTAAACACAAGCACTTGGACTTAAAAGGTAATGGAGCCGCATCGTGACTAAACACCAAGCGTCCGCGGAGCCGGGATGCGGAAAGCACTTGGGTAGCACCTTCAAGGTCTGCAGACACTTGACTGTGTGCTGAATACTTGGCCTGGTCTTTCCTGCCCCTCTTAATACCCCCTCCCCCTGCCCCCCACCCCACACCAAACCAATCTCCCCCCGCCCCACAAGCACACACGTGAAAGCCTTCCAGCTGGCACCCGCCAAGTGCACTTGGCAGGTCGGCGGGGAACATGAGAATTATACCTATATCGCCCCAGAAAGCAATTCTCAAATATCACTGGAGTACAGCACTTCACCAGGGACCGGTGAGAGTGAATGGAACAAAAACACACACACAAAAAAAGCTTTTTCTGGCACGCCTAGTGCAGGAGGAAAGTTTAGCAAAGCAAGGAGACGGCAAGGATTCTTCGAAGAGAAAATCCGGCGACGGCTGCCGGCAAAAGTGCGGAACACCGGCAGGCCCAAGTGCATTTTTTTTTTTTTTAAAGACAAATGTCACTGACGAGTAAGTAGTTTGAGCAGAACAAGGTGCAGTCCAGGTGCAGGCAAACGTTCCAAATGTCTGCGGACTTGTGTCATCAGATCAACCACGCGGCAATTAAAAAGGTCAAGGAGGTTTGGATCGAGATGTGCTTTTCTGTTTGGGAGATGTTTCATGAAGCTAAACGGGCCCAGTCCAGTGGTACCTCTACTTACGAAATTAATTGGTTCTGGAAGAAATTTCTTCACGAGAAAATGTTGTAAGTAGAGACGTGTTTACCATGTAAATGCCCTAATCCGTTCTAAGAACCCCCAAAATTCAGTTCCTCTAAGCCAATGGGATGCCAGGATGATGCTCGGTAATAGCCAATGGCGGAGCAGCTAGTATGTTGCGTCCAGGAAACTCGGAGCTGCGAGTATCAGCCCATACTGTATTTTTACCTTTCGTATCTTGAAATTTCTTTCGTAACAAGAGGCAATATTATCCTGTTGAGGCGTTTTGTAACTTGAATATTTCACACGAAGAGACGTTTGTAAGTCGAGGTGCCACTGTATTTAGAGCATTTGGCTGGAAAAACCTGAATGAGATTGAATGACCAAACAGAATGAAAATGCTCGATATAGACACCTCATTCGAAATAAAAAGGCAGAATCAGAATGAAAATTAATTTTCCCGCCGGGAAATCAATCGGAATAGTCATGTTGCATCACATCTGTGCATTTTGAAAGTGATTGATGCCTTTTTCACCTCTCCGATGGGATTACTGTAATGCACTTTACATCGGAGTCAGCCAATCCTCCATTAAGCTTCTCCAGTTGGGCCAAAATACTGCTGCTCGCCTCTTGACCGGTACACTCATAAGAAGGAGCACATAACTCCCTTCACTGGCTCCCTGTACAAACACTTTTCGATGATTTGATTTCAAATCTTCAAATGACCTCGCCCCCGCCTTCTTCATTTGATCATTTTGACGGCAATCACTTTGAGCTCACAAAAATCCAAAATGTACTTTCTTGGAAGAACACCCTCGATATCAACATATTAAGCGGACAAAAGTTGCAGCGAGCTATGCAGCTTGTCGAACTCGAACGTCATCGGATCACGTCTCCGAATGTCCTCTTGGCATTCATTCACACCAACTTGCTCGAAATAGGAACCTGCAGCCGCGCAATGGCGATAGAGCAGCTCCGATAGCTCCTTTATTATGGAAAATTATTTTAAACGGCGCAAAGAAAAAAAAAAAAAAAAAAAAGACAGCGACCATCTCGTTCCTTCCCCGTTCCCGCCACTATCACTCCAGCTATTGATAAGATGTCTAAATTTATAGCGGAATAATTCTGCGGGAAAAGAGATAAAAGGTTGCTGAATAAAATATGAGGCGAAAGGCTGTAAATTGTCGCAATGCATATCATTTCATTCAAACGTCGGACGCAATTACCATCTGCTACACTCATCAGTGCCCATCCTTTATGACTTAATTATATGTTTAATGCTATCAGATCAAGGAAAGGGCAAAACAGATGAATGAGAGAAACACGGCAAAGATTGGGCAACAAGACAAAAGGCGGATGCAAAGTAACATAAAGGGCTGAAATTGATTCCGCCGAGCAGGAAAATGGGACCTTAATTCCGGGGACAATGTTGCCTCATCTCCTGTGCCTTCTAAGATAATAAAGCCAGCGTGTTGCCAATTTGTCTCCGAGCAGTCAAACAAAGGGAGTCGAGTTCCTTTACATCCATCGTGATCACGGTGATACTTTCTAACCAGACGGACGACCTGAAACTCATTTATCGCGCCACCTTGGAAATGAAAGTGGCGGTATTTCAGGTTCTGCTTTAACCCTTTGAGGGGCAACGGTTACTACGGTGGACAGCTTATCATGTTATCGGGTTACAGGTTAGCATTATCGGTGCAGGAAATAAAATAACGCCATTTTGGAGTCGTTTTGCGGGTTATTCATGGACCCGGTTTGGGTTATTTTGGACCCAAATGTTATTCAAATTCGGTCTTTTGAACGTAGTTTCAGCCTTTCGCTGGAGTTTTCGTGCTCTCCCCTTTCCTTCCCCATTTTAAAGATAGTTTGGTCAAAAAGAACCACTTGGTCAAATGAATCATTTTGTACTTTTTTTTTTTTGGTGGGTCATTCTTTTTCACCAATTTCGGGGAAGTTTAAAAGAATAACCTAAAAAGTTGGCTTCGTCCCTTTTTGACCCGACTGAGGTTATTTTTGACCCAACTGTTATTCAAATTCGGTCTTCTGAATGTAGTTTTAGCCTTTCGCTGGAGTTTGCGTGCTCTCCCCTTTCCTTCCCCATTTTAAAGATAGTTTGGTCAAAAAGAACCACTTGGTCAAATGAATCATTTTGTACTTTTTTTTTTTTGGTGGGTCATTCTTTTTCACCAATTTTGGGGAAGTTTAAAAGAATAACCTAAAAAGTTGGCTTCGTCCCTTTTTGACCCGACTGAGGTTATTTTTGACCCAACTGTTATTAGGGTGCTCATTTGTTTGGTAGGTTAGGCGGCCACTTCCTGGATTCATGGAAGACGACTACGGTAGTAGAAATGCGGTGCCACTGAAAAGATTTTTTTGTGTTTTGGATCTGCCTCCCGGCAAACATGCAATGTTTTTCTCCTTAGCACATGCACCAGTGGAAATTACGACAAAGCTCGAGATGGCCTCAAACGTTTAAAAAAAAAATGGGGTCAAACTAATTTTAAACTAAACTGGGTTTTGGGGTTTTTTTTTTGTGCGCGGGGGAAGCGTTTGTTTTTTTGTTTTTTTTTGTTGCTATGTTCAAAATGTTTCACCTGACTTGGACCCAATGACGTTTTTGACGACACATTACGGCGAGTTGGCGCCTACTGGGTTTTGGGGTTTTTTTTTTGTTGTTTTTTTTCTATGTTCAAAAATCTTCAGCTGACATGGACCCAATGCCGTTTTTGACGACACATTACGGCGAGTTGGCGCCTATTCCAGTCGACTTTGGGTGAGATTGTGACTCCAGAGATTGCGTTTGACCTTTGAGATTCCAATTGCCGACTCCAATGTCATTCCTTTGTGCTTTCTCTATTCTGATGCAACATTAGCAAGGTTTTTAATTACCCCTACCACCAAGATTTCATGTTTCATCAAATTACGTTTTCCTTTATTCCACTGAAATCATAAAAAAACAACCAACCGGGTGTATTATCTTGTGACGCGGTGAATCGAAAAACTTTACGACGGTCAAACTTTTTGTCGCGCGCACTACGTTTTCCTTTATTCCACTGAAATCATAAAAAACAACCAACCGGGTGTATTATCTTGTGATGCGGTGAATTGAAAAACTTTACGACGGTCAAACTTTTTGTCGCGCGTTTCGATTCAAATCATGGAAGACAGCACCCACAAAGCGAAGCGGGCTGGTCCAAATGGCTGTGGGCTAAAACGCTAGCCAGTGGGCATCCCAAGTGCCAGCGGGCACTGTCCTAACTGTGTACCTTTGGCCAGAACTCATTACAGGCTGACATTTAGGCCTGCTGCTGTCCATGCCAAGTCAGCCTTCTGGATGGAGACAAATTATGTAGTTATTTTTTTATGTCGGACATTAAGTCATGTCCGGTGTGAGCCAAATGAGTCTCACCTTCATGTCACCTGAAAGGAAAGCAACAAAAGGCTGCGGAGGTCTTAAACAGGGGCGGCTATTTTGCTTAGTGTGTAAAACATTCCCTTATTACAAATAAGATGAAAGTGAGGTGAATTATGTTCCTTATAACAATAAAGAATGTATCCAAGTACTCCTGCACATTCGAAGGAAATCCAGTGGAATAATAATGATGGACATGGAATTGATTAAATAAAACGCTTAGAGTTGCAGTGACGTCATAGGTAGGATGGCGAGACATTAAATATATATAACTCTTATTTTTTTTCACATCATAAAAAAATATATAATTTCTGTAGACGTTTCTTTCAAGGTGATTGCAGAGTTTAGTTTTTACATTTGACTGCATTCACAATTTTACGAGTCTATTAATATACAGTTCGGTTCAGTAATTCGTAGTAGAATCGAATGAAAGGCAAGGTATGACTCAGAGGATTAGAAATGCCAGGTTCATTTTCAGGAGTTCGATTCAAAAAGTCGAGCATGATATCGAATCCCGACTCAGAGCAAGATTTCATGAATTCATTTTGGATGATTTTGGCTATTAGCAAAAGGAAAACCCAAAATGTACCATCTCGGGAAATGTGAACAAACACATGAGGGAAAAAAAATGGGTTGTTGACCTTCTGGAAAGTATTTTCTGAATCTATAAAATAAATGAGCAGTGAAATAGATCTTTCCACCATTTTTATAATTTACCCAAATGGACCTGTATGTGAGTTCAATACAAAACAAGTAATTTAAGTCTAAACCAACGGCTTTCATAGAAGAGCTTTCAGGAAAAAAATTGTATTTACTTGTTAGGAATTACAGCCATTTTATGTAGAGGCCCTTATTTTTATTTATTTTTTGGTATCATTTTTAACTATAGGCGGCCACTCGCCAGCCATAAAATTAGGAATACTTGCCATAATGTCGTAAAATCTGCGGGGTCAAATGTGCATTTTTTTGTTTTCAACGAGCACCAAGTTTTTCAGTTGGCAGAGCGGGTCACCCGATGACCGAAGAATCGTCGGTTTCGAATCCTTGCTCCGGCTGTTTGCTGTCAGGCAAGACGGTCCTGCCTGCCTGACAGCAAACAGCTGCCAGGACCCCCTGAACCCTAATTTGCTCCCAGTGGGCCTCGCAGTGTGGGGCCTTGTAAGACGCCCGGTTAAATGCGATACCAGCGTTCTTCCTTGACCCAAATGAAAATGAACGGCTCTAAAACGAGTCCTTATTTGAGATAAAGGCTTATGTTCGTTCTTTTACAGGCTCAGTTTTCCTCCCCTTGACTTACGAAGGCGGTTCCTTGATGTGACCCAAGTGCAGCCTGTTTAAAACAGGAACAGAACTAAGGCGCCATCTTGTGGCGAATGGCTCAGCACCACTCAGGAGATTTTTAATTTTTATTTTTGTGTGCCCTCCTGTTAGCCATGGAAATGATGGGGCTGTAAAACAATTTAAGTTTGAACTGATCAAATATTAGCATGAGAACCGATAAACCGAGGGAGTGGCGATTATATTAAATGTGTCACTGCTGCATACTCTAAAGATGCAGGAAACGACTGGTGACATTTATAACATTCGAGCACATTAGAGGGCAATTACGACTGAAAATAAAAATAAGTGAGCCGACCGCACTCGCTAGCCGGTCGGTGTCGTGGAATTGAACGTCTCCAAAAGTTGTTTGTGTGCTCTGTGGCATTGGCACAAAATGCGGATAATTGCTCATTGGGAGGATTCGGCATTCCCTTGCGTGCACACGGCGAGGAATATTTTCTCACTTTGAGCATAAACAGACACAACCGGGCATGTAATTGATTAAAAGTTAATTGTGCAAAGGTCTGCCTGATTGGGGACCATCTGTCAAGCTGTACATGCGCAAATTCTAATCATATTTCATTAAGAGCGCAAACAAATTGCATACATCACAGTTAGGCTGCAAACTGTTATGAAACAAATTGGCTTTTTACAATGAAGGGAAATTACATCACATAACTAAGTATTATACCCACCTCCCCGAGCTATATTTCTTAATGAATCCTCTAATGAATTTAATTGGCACAATGTGCATAATTTGGAGATGAAAATGTCAGCGGGTCAGATTTAAGCGTGTTGTGTTAGCAAAACATGACCCTCATGTAAATGACGCGGGGTGTACGCGTAATTGTGGGGTCTAATTAACATGTTCTAAAAAGGTATCGTGGGGCGTACATTGATGCTCATTTTACACGGGCCGGTGTCAAATCACCGTTTGCCTCAGTTTAGCGTCATCTTCTTTTCATCAACTGGAATGTCATTTTGTGTTCGTCATAAGGGAATGACACGTCTTGGGGTGACTCAGCACGCTTCAAACTCAACACGGAGCTCATTCCGAAAGCCTTTTCAATCAGGGTCACGGATTTGATTCAAGAGCAGGCTTGGGAAGACCAATAATGTCTGCTATTTAAAATGGAAGATAACAATTTAAAAATCGCCTGTTGACAAACCGATTGCTTCATTTCATGAGATTTTATGCCTGTAGGTCATGTTGATTGTTTTCCAAAGTAAAAGCATGTCTTATTTTGAAAATATTTTCTTTTTAATAAAAATCTTTCTGGCAAAATTCTGAGGATTTGGATAATAAGGTCTCTAAAAGATGAATCAATCATCAAAAATAATTTCATAATCGATTCGTTCTTCATTAATCAATGCACCTCTAATACAATTAAATTTTACAAAGACTTTTTTTTTTTTAATATTACTATTTAATTCAGATTTGGCTCATTTTATCCTCCTACTATTCAATTTGATCTCCTGAATATGTTCTCACAAAAAAAACTCAAACTTTTGTAAATTCTGCATGTCCACTCCCATGCGGCTATCTGTGACGACTCCGAGCATAAACTTTTTTTCGTCATGCTAATCCACCCGTTGCCTTTCTCTGCCCCGATGCGCAAGCGTTCCTCCCAACCTCCTTAACCCGTTCAATTTAACACCAAATACAAATTCAGCTAATGATGCCATCACGAGTGTGCATGTATGTTTAACTGTGTGAATACATGAATACATTGGAGCAGTCCATGAAAGCGCCCAAGACTTTGCCTGGGGCTCGTCCCGAGGCAAATCATCGAGCTCACACACACTAATGAAAGAGTGTGTAGCGCCAGCTAAGGGCAGCCACGGCAGGAGCCGCTGCTGCCCTCCCTCCTCATGGCGCTGTTAATATTCTGCATGGAGCCAAAGGGACTCCCCGGAGAGGCCGGCTGATGAAGAGGCCAACCTGTGGCCGTCTCCGCTAATCACCGGCTAATGGCTGCACTAACATGCCTCTTACAAATGGGATTGTACATGTGTGCCTGCATATGTATGATATGCGCTCTGCATGTGTGTACGGATGTGTATGTGTGTGTGTGTGTGTGTGGGGTGGGCTATATGGGGACACAATGAGTTAACTATTACAATATTCGGACTGAGGCGTGTTAGGATGCAAATCATGTTCTCGTGTTTTGCACCTCGCTAACTGCATCTTATGTAGCTTTGTGCGATGTGATGAAATCTTGCTGATTTAGGGCCTGTTGCAACCGCAAAAGTAATGCAGTCGGCGGCTCATAACCACACACTAGGCCAGGGGTTGGGAACTCTGGTTCGTTGAGAGCCACATCCTGCCTGCTTTAGATCTCTCCATACATCAACACACCCAATTCAGACGGTCAGCTCTTCAGCAAGCTCTGCAGACGCCTGAAACGATCATGATCAATTGAATCAGGTGGGAGAGATCTGATATGGACAGGATATGGCCCCCGAGGAACATATATTGGCTGTTATATCTGCTATGACCCGATATACACCTGCGACTAATATTTGAAATCGCAATAAATCTAGTGGGCGACAGCTGCAAAACAGTTTCATCGCATCACCGAGTATGCGACAGGCCTGGGAGTTTTGAAATTGCAAATATTGAACAGGTTTAACCCCCCCCCCCCTCCGCCCCCAGTATAAAGGATGAAAAATCCCTTTTGTTTTAACACACCACACGACACACGATAATCACCCAGGATGATCTTTCAGGGGCCATCTCAGGATCGGGCCTTTGATCAGTGGGGATTTGATTACAAAAAAGTAAATTAAATGAGAATCGATAAAACAAAATGGGATGGATTAGATAAACAATGTTGGAATACATTAGATTGAATAGGATTGATTATGTAGGACAGGTTTCATTAAATTGGATATAATAGCATAGATAATATTTTTACCATCAACAGATTTGAGTTGGACAGTCAGATGACAGACAGATTCATACATAACTTTGTGCTCTTGTTTTTTTTTGGGGGGGGAGGAGGGGGGTGAGCTTTCAAGTCTGCACAGTCGTGCTAAACACAAACACTTCCCCGACGACGCAAGAGAGATAATTAGCGTCGCTAGACAAGTGACGCCGCATTTTAAAGCCTTAAAGATGGAAGGAATTCGCGACAGGTCTTACCAGAAATTTTGCTCAATCGCATGCAGCGTGTCAGTCAGTATCTACCAGTAAACCACCAATTATAATGAGGAACTCATCGACTGGTGGCCGTTTTAAACCAAGGAGCACTGACAACACAGCTGAAATCAAGTAATAATTTTGAAATCAGTCGTTCTTATTCTGCCAAATCGTGTTGTGTGAACGTGGAACTACTTTATTTTGAAATTCAGCGCCCGGGTTTCCTGTTGGGCTTCACGCTACCTTGACGTCACCTCGGGGGCGTTTTGTCCAATCAGAGTTACGCTGCTGCATTTGGGCATGAACTCACCGCTTACTGTACACTCTTGACAACTTGAAGAACTTGAGTGAGTCGGAGGGGGTGGGGGGGAAAGAAGTTTTGGACAGTAACTTGGGGTCGCAACGCTCGGGACACGGTGATGATGAATAAGTTTTCACCGTGACGGTCTTGTGATATACTCCGAACGACGCGGTCATTCCGTCCCGTGTGAGATTTGTTGTAGCGCGCCACGCAGGCAGCTAACACCTCCGTAGGAAAGAATCTTTAAGGTGGAACGCAGTTGCCTCGGGCTCAATGTGATACTTTGATTGCATTTGAAAAAAATAAATAATAATAATTAGGATGATACCGTGTTGGAGGTACCTGCGGAGCAGCAAGGGGGTCTTGGGCTTCGTGTTCGTGGCTTCTGTCATTTGGCTGCTGCTGGACATGGCTGTCCTCCGCCTGTCCGTCCGCGACGTCAACAGTCGTCTACTGAAGGAGAGAGTGATCCGGCAGCAGGACCTGGCCAGGCAGCAAGATAAAGTTACCCTGCTCATGGAGAAGTTCTTGGAGGAGTCGGTGGTGAAGCAGGAGGACTCGGACAAAGACTCGGACAGTGTGGACGTCCAACCCGTCGGACTTTACAGACGTCGTAGAAAAGATAAAGTAGCTGTTAAGGATAACCAGAACCGGCAAGGCAATCCGAGTAAGGTTGAACCGGAATCAGTTGCTAAAAAGCCTGTGGATTTGTCTTTGACTGATGCGTTATTATTGCAAAACAACATCGTAAAGAATGACTCCGTTTCACTGAGCCGTCGCGCTGTCAATCCGGAGATAATCGAACCCGTGAAGACCGCTCCTAATACAAGCGTGCAAGTGTTCAATCAGCCCCGGGCCGCGAAGGAACAACTGGACGTTCAAGAACTTCCCTTGAAGGAGGACAACCAAATTGAAGAACCCCCCAATCGAGGACCGCACAACACGTCTTCGGTGAAAGAGGAGAAACAACTCCAAAATAACTCGATCATCGTCAAAGGGAGAGACACCCATCCTGTTAAGGCAAGTGTCCACCAGGTGCTGTCCCTCGACGTGACCGCCGCCCCCAGAGATCCCAACGCCATCGGCCAGTTCGGCCAGCCGGCGACAGTCCCGAGCGAAGACTCGCTGAAGATGAAGCAGAGGTGGAACGAGGGCCATTTTAACGTCTACCTGAGCGAGCAGATCCCCCTGGATCGCGCCATTCCCGACACCAGGCCGGAGATGTGAGTCGCACACACACTCCACCCACCCCCACCCCCGACTCATCTGACACGACCTGCTCTTTGTTTCCCCAACAGCTGCGCCCGCGACGTGGTCCACGACGACCTGCCGTCCACCAGCGTGATCCTCTGCTTCGTGGACGAAGTGTGGTCCACCCTGCTGCGCTCCGTTCACAGCGTCCTCAATCGGTCGCCGCCGCACCTCCTCAAGGAGATCATCCTCGTGGATGACTTCAGTAAAAAAAGTCAGAGCGGCTCCTACCTTCACGGCGCTGGAGTGCATTGATCACGAGCGGTGTTGCCACAGTTACCTTGAAATAAGTCACTTTACCGATGACTTGCTTTCGAAAGTCATTTAGTTACTTCATTGATTATTTTGATTGAAAAAAATAATTACATGAAGGACATCAGTAACTTAGCCTATCGCGAAGTCAGCCGGGATAGGCCGCAGCTCACCCGTAACGAAGCTCAGAAGCGCTTTCAAAAACGGACACATGACGTTCGTTTTTCGCCGTGTACCTTTTTGTGCTTCGGTGTTCAGTCTGGGTATTGCCCCTTTTTGTTTTCAGAATACCTGAAGGAGAATCTTTCCTACCTTCACGGCTCGGTGTTGCCACAGTTACCACAAAATAATCAGCGAAGTAACTAAATGACTTGCTTTAGAAAGTCATTTAGTTACTTCGCTGATTATTTTGATTGAAAAAAAGTAATTACATGAAGCGACATCAGTAACTTAGCCTATCGCGAAGTCAGCCGGGATAGGCCGCAGCTCACCCGTAATGAAGCTCAGAAGCGCTTTCAAAAACGGACGCATGTCGGTGTTCAGTCTGGGTATTGCCCTTTTTGTTTTCAGAATACCTGAAGGAGAATCTTGACCACTATATGGCTAACTTCAGCAAGGTCCGAGTCATTCACCTCAAGGAGCGTCAAGGTCTTATCAGGGCTCGGATGGCTGGAGCGGCTGTTGCCACAGGTCGGCTCCGCTTTTTCACGTGTTCAACTTCATGTTTGTCCATTTTTATTTATTTTTTTTGGTCATAGCTTAAATGTTGATCGCCAATTTCAGTTCCTATATATATATATGCATCCTTGTTTTTTTTTTTTTTTTTTTTTTTTTTTTTTTTGCAAGCACTTTTTTTTTTTTTAAATTTTGGGGCCATACCGGTAATTTAAAAAAAAAGCAAGCACATTTTTTGTTTTTAAATGTTGTGGCCATACCGGTAAGTTAAAAATGAAATGACTTAGACTCAGTTTTGCCATTAGGCTAATGATTTTAATGTCAGGCAGATGGGCCAGGTCAAAAGATACAATTATTTATTTAAAAAAAAAATTTTTTTTTTGGTATTTTTTTATAATTAATGGAATTATAAATACGTTATTTATTGCAATACATACAAACTATTAAGCTCAAATAATATTGCTCTTATTTTAATGGTTTTATTGAAACGAATGGTGATTATTTCACCAAACATTTAATGCTGTACATAAAAAAATGTTTGTCAAAATATTATAGCTATATACTTTTATACTAGTATATTTTTATTTTCTTAGTCACAATAAATCCATCCATCCATAAATTCACTTTTTTGTTTTTTTTTTTAGATAAATGGGGACAAATGAATAGATATATAGAGAAAGATTTTTTATTTTTTTTAGGTACAAAATACCTATCTTAATGCAAAGAATATTACAGTAGTCTTGATCATGCTTGGTGGGTTGGATAGATGTACCGAGTGGCGCCCGCGATCCATATTTTGCCAACGGTGTCGGCCTCCATCT